GCCTCTCATGAATGGGAAACATAGCGCCGATGAGTATATCTCCCGTATAATTCATGAACCGCTGTATCGGCCAATGAAAGCCGGCGCTCATCGCCACAAACGGCAATAACGGCACCAAAAACATGATAAGTGACCGCACTTTGCGTACCTCATGTGAAACGCCGATTGTCGGCATTGCGAGCACTCAGACAATTAGCTGCACTTTTATAGTCCACTAAATATCATACCATGTGTTGTGAAATGCGAAGCTATAATAACGACTCAATTATGAGGTTTCACAACAAATAAAACAGTTTTTTAATTATTCTTGTTTTTCTCATTTTGTGGTAATGTTTGCAATGAAAACCAAAAACTGTTGTCATTTTGCATACAATTTTTATCATTCAAATTGTATTTTATTTTTGCTGTATATTCCGTTTCATTGGCCACTCAATTGCTAGAGAAGTCTTATAAGTATTTTTCTCATTAGTACACTGTATGTGACATATAATGAAATCGTTGTTTAATTATTATTAACTTTTTTGTTGATTAATTAGACTATTAATCAATACCGTTGTGAATATAACTTATTATAGATTTTATGTTTTTATCATTTTCTTCGCACATTTCAACAAGAATTTGAACAAATGTTTTATAAGAAATATAACGTTTCAAATCAAATAGATTTTCAAACATTTTATAAAAGATAAAACTTTTATTTTTTTATTTAACAGAAAATATATTTTAGTGTAAAATAAATTGCGTTAATATTTGATTATTAAAGCCATAATAGAGTTTGAATGAGTGGACACAAACTTTCATAGAAATGTGTTGTCGTGTTGTGTAATATAAATTGAGAGCCCTTTTCACTGCACTTATGGTATTTATAGTGCAATTCATTTTATAGTTTAATTCACTTTACCATTAGATTACACTTCTGAGCATCACTTGTGTACAACATCTGCAGCTTTAGCTCACTATACATCTCACACTTTCACTCACACTATCTCTCATCGGAGAGAGAGAGAGAGAGAGAGAGAGAGAGAGAGAGAGGAGTGGTTTGGATTGTGGAGAACATACTCACAAACACCACATCATATTTCGATATACAATACATACAGAATATTCTGTACACATATATTGGGTTTACTTGTTGTGCTTTGAGTGACATCTAAAAAGTTGATTGAATTTTGATTTTCATTTAATATCACCCACCTAAATGATTGTCAGGGTTAATAATACAGTATACATTAGATTTGATATGACGACATTTATCATGTTATTTTAATAGAAACTACCAATATATAATTCATTATATTAGTATTTCCTAAAACAGAATGCAAAATGTTTATAAATTAACAAATATGCTGTTTATCTGTCCCATCAAACTACTGTCTGTTCCTATGTTTATAAACCAACTGTAATACTAGGGCTTTACTTCCTCTGTTTCTCAACCCAAACACCGACAAAACCTACAATTATTACATAACACATTGTTTCCTCAAATTAACTCATTAACATCTCTTCAATTCTAATGCCAAACATTAATTGTCAGTATTTAAAATTGAATAGAAATAACGTTAAATCATTTCTAACAATATATAGATAACTTATATAAGTTATATAAGGATCTGATATTACAATTGTTAGTAATGTATTAGTATTGTTTGAGTGCAAGAATTTTTTAAAAAATCAACATATTTATTATTTTGACTTAAATTCTGTCAAACGGTTGACTTTTCAGTTAGTAAACAGTTATCAAGTCATTAATCCCAAGAAATCTTTAGCAAATCGTAAGTCTTTTTGCGATTATAATATTGAATTGAATTGAATTATCTTTGGACAGATGTCCGGAAGAGCCACAAAAAGTGGATCCAATTCTTCGACGGGTAGCAGAAGAAGGCGTCGAAATGAAGGGTTGTTTGCGTTGGGAGTCGGAGGCACTGTATGTGTGGCTCTTGTCGTGACAGTCATTGTCTGCCGATATGTCTATACCGGCAAAGGAGTGCTCCAGAAATAGTAGTCTCAGCACAACATTCACTGAAA